AACATGGTGAAATACCGTCTTTACTAAAAATACAAAAATTAGCTGGGCATGGTGGTAGGTGCCTGTAGTCCCAGCTACTTGGGAGGCTGAGGTAGGAGAATCACTTTAACTGAGGAGGAGGAGGTTGCAGTAAGCTGAGATTGCGCCACTGCACTCCAGCTTGATGACAGAGTGAGACTCTGTCTCAAAAAACAAAAAATATGAATGACTGTCACCATGACTATACTTTTCTAACCACGGGAATATATGTCATTTTGGTACCTTAATTAGGGAATGCCAGAATATCCCATAATACATAGACTTCATAAAACTTCCCTATTAAAATCATGATCTTCCTTCTAGGTGCCATTTGCTTTCCTGTGTAGCCTGGACTTTGCTGTTAATCATATTAGAGAGGTGCTATCATCATAGCAGATAGAGTTTTTTGCCCCATGAGCACCTAACTTTTTAATCATGCTATATTTGTTATTTATTGCTCTGTGGGTTGCTAATTTAAACTTAGTGGCTTAAATTAGTAATAATCATTTATTATTTCTTTTGGGTTTGTGGGTCAAGCATTTAGGAGCATCTCGTGGTATCACAGTGAGATATCACATGGGGCTGCCATCATGTGAAGGCTTGACAGGGCAGCTTAGTCACGTAGCTGTTGGCCAGGGACTTCAGTTTTTCTTGTCATGTGAATTTCCATGGGATTGTTTGAGTGTCCTCAAGGTAAAATAGTGGACTTTTCCTAGAGTGAACGAACTGAGATACTAAGACAAAAGCTGAAATGCTTCTTAAGACCAAGTCTTAGAAGTCACAGACTGTCACTTCTGCCCTGCTGTGCTGGTCACACAGGGGCAGCTGTGATGCATTAGAAAAGGGAATTGTACAAGGCATGAGTACATGGAGGGGAGGATCATTGGAGGCCATTTTTGAGACTGAATACCCTAGTCCACCCTCTGGCCCCCAGTGATTCATGTTTCTCCTACTTAAGAAAATATACTTATCTCCTTCCTCAAGGCTTCCAAGTCTCATGCCATTACAGTATCAGCTGAGAGTCCAAGACTGGATCACCTAAATCAGAGCTGAGTATAGGTCTTTGAATATTGATCCTCTAGATCTGAAGACCTGTGAACTATGGAGACAAGTTATCTGTTCCTCATACAACCAACATCCCCAAATTATAGGAAAGATGTAGGGTAGTAGCAATCTACTTTCTTCAGAAAGGGAGAAAATAGGAGTCACAAGCAGTCACTGGTCCATGGCAGTTCTAAAATCCAACCAGGCACATGTTTCTGAGTCCTTGATTCAGGCTCAATCCTACTGCCTTAGAGTGATTCTTTAGGGTTCTTACCTCTGTCCTCTAAGCTCTTGGTTCTATCTTCTATTTTATTTTTATTTCATTTTTTTGAGATAGAGTCTTGCTCTGTTGCCTAGGCTGGAGTGCAGTGGTGCCATGTCAGCTCACTGCAACCTCTACCACCTGGGTTCAAGTGATACTCCTGCCTCAGCCTCCTGAGTAGCTGGGATTACATGTGCCTACCACCCATGCCCAACTAATTTTTGTATTTTTAGCAGAGATAGGGCTTCACCATGTTGGCCAGGCTGGTCTTGAACTCCCGACCTCAGGTGATCTGCCTGCCTTGGCCTTTCAAAGTGCTGGGAATACAGGTGTGAGCCACAACGCCCAACCTGGTTCTATCTTCTGAGCATTACTTCCTTTTTCATTAGAAATGGCCTGTATTTGCAGATGAGTATTTTTCTAAACCTGCTTCTTGCCCATAGAGGTTTAGGGACCCAAAGCCCTCTCATTTTGTACTATTTCAGTTTCTTTAAATCCAAGAAGGTATAATTCTTTAGAACAATTTTGTGTTTTAAAATGAACTCATTTATAGTCCACTCCATTAGACAAAAGTCACATATATATATATATATATATATTTATTTTTTTTTTTTTTTCGCAAGAGATACCCCCTTTACCATGATAGGAGCATCACCTTTAAGAGTCTGAGAGGGATTTTTCTTTAAAGGACCGAATTTGTGAGGCTTACTTTTGGAATCTTAGAAGGACTTTTGTCTGACTGAATGGTTTTCTCAGAGACTGTATTAGGTCTTTCTAAGGTTTTAACAAAGGATTTAATGGTTCTCCATTGGATTTGTTTTTTTCTCTGAAGTAATTTCTTAATTTGAGAATCTTGGAAGTGCTGAGAATGAGAAACAGTTTTATTTTTGAACTCAGCAAGTCCTGGATTCTTTATATCTAATTTTTTTCTTCCACTCATCATTCTTCTCACATTTTACTGTAAGCAGCAAAAAGAAGCCAGGTGGCACTTTTAGCACCCTGCCTGGAAATCTCCTGAGGCTCGATGATCTAGTCCATCGGGTACGTGTTTTTACTTTGTCCATTACTACAGGCAACAAAATGCTACTAAATTTTCTGCCACTATATAAAAAGGAAACCATTTCCTTCAGCTTTCCATAACATTTTCTCACTTTCTTTTTATTTTCTTTTTAAAATAGGCTTTATTTTTAGAGCAGTTTTAGGTTCACAGCAAAATTGGGCAGAAAGTTGAGATTTCCCATATACCCATGGCTGCCACAAATGCACAGCCTCCCTGACTATCAACCTCCAGCACCAGAGTGGGACATTTGTTGCACTCATGAACCTCCATTGACACATCATTGTCACCCAAAGTCCACAGTGTACATTAGGGTTCATTCTTGGTGTTGTACATTTTGCAGGTTTGGACAAACGTATAGTGGCATGTATCCATCATTATAGTATCATAGGAGTACTTTCACTGCCTTAAAAGTCCTTTGTGCTCTGCCCATTCATCCCTTCTCTCCTCAGTGCCTGGAAACCACTGAATATTTTACTGTCACCATAGTTTTGCCTTTTCCAGAATGTCATATAGTTGGAATCACACGGTATGTAGCCTTTTCAGATTGACTTGTTTCACTTAGCAATAAGTATTTGAGATTCCTCCATGCCTTTTCATGGCTTGATAGTTCTTTTTTTTTTTTTTTTGGCACGGAATCACACTCTATAGTCTGGCTGGATGGGTCAAAGTTTAGTCACTCACTTTCTTTTAAACTCTCATTGAGAGCCTGCTTAAACTAAAGCACATCAGGCTTTCACTAGCAGTTTCTCCGAAGTTCTTTAGGTGCTCACTGATTATGTGTGTGTGTCTGTGTATCCCATAATATATAAAAATCAACACACATACACACATACTATAAAAGGATTTATTTATTTTAGAGCTTTAACCTTGTGCAATTGTGGGAGCTGACTGAACAATTTATATGAGGCCATTATTTCACTATTTGATAATGAAGCCGAAAGTTTGCAGGACAGGCAGTTGGGAAGGGAAGACACAAACTGCTCCTGAAGACAGTCTGGCACTGAATGAATCTTTCCTTGACTCTATGGCATTTATTCCCTTTCCTTTTTTTTCTCTTCTTTTTGTTTTCCTAGAGAGGAGGTCTTACTGTGGTCCAGGCTGGAGTGCAGTGGTGCAATCAAAGCTTACTATAACCTCAAGCTCTCTTTCCACCTCAGCCCCCTGAGTAGCTCGGATTACAGAATGCGAGGTACCATGCCTGGTGAGCCTCACATTTTAAACATTTGGATGAATTCCCTTGGGCCTGGTGCTACACACACTGCTATATCTAGGGTTAGCTCTATGGGTTTCCAGGAAGATCTTGAGACTATGCCATGTGCATTTCTGTTTTGGCAAGAAAAAACATACTTGAATAAATACATATCTAGACCATTGATGAGATGGTAGAGACATGAGAAAAGGAAGTTTAAATCTTGCCAATTTGGTGCAGCCATCAGGAAATTACTTTGCTGTGTGCCGTTTCATGTTTGTGACAGTTAATGTCAGCTCCCTGGTCTTGTACTCTGTTGATGTTTAGACATGCGATATCCTGAAAGTGCTACATCTGTATGGGGGAAATTTTCATGCTTCACACATTTTATTTTCCTAATCTTTAACCAAGTGTGGGCAAGAATTTGCAGATACAATAAACATAAATATTTTTATTATATCTAAGGTTCTCATCCATATTTGAGTCTCTTGCTTCCCTGACATAGTCAATTCTGATGGAAGTGATCATGGAGCCACAGACAGGCATAATAAGCTTAAGAGTAGTTTCACTTTCTAATGAAAAGAACACTGGGCCCAGGAGTCAGGAGATTCCTCAGGTCTAGCCTCAGCTCTGCCATTAGCATTCTGTAAGAGTTGAGCAAATCACTTAAATTATCTGTTCTCAGTTTTCTGTATTGTGAAACAAAGGGGATGAATAAGGTAATTCCAAAGGTACTAAGTCTAAAATTCAGAGTCAATTTTAATAGGAAATACAGGTTTATTAAGTAGCAGAACTGAAGTCATTATTATAGAAAGTAATAGAGAGCCATATTAAAATGAAAAAAATTTGAAAAATAGATTGAAATGACCTATTATGGCTTTAAAACTTTTATCAGGGTCTTACAGGATAAACTAATCTTCTAACTGGCTTTAAGTGAATTGAACTTTTTGAGGAAAGTGAGAGGGCTGGCTGCAAGACTGCACCCTGGCATACCAATCTCTTTAATGTATTTCCTTTCAAGGGCCTATGTCAACAGTCAAGCATATCCAAATAAAGCCATTGAGTCAAAGATTCAATACATAAGTGACTGTGGCAAGTTGAGTTTTGATGGTGGAATTTGAAAAAGCATCTAGATTGCTTATTACCTTCATCAAGTGAAACAATTATAAATAGCTCTGAAAAGATTCGTTATGGAATGTCCTCCGTGAAGACATCCCTTTGGAATTTGGCCACATCATTTAGTTATGATAATTGCATGAAACAATTTTTAGTCTGATTTCTTCAGTAACAAGACATCGAAAATTCTAATGTTTCTTATGTTTGTTTTTGTTTTTGTTTTTTTTGGGATGGAGTCTCTCTCTGTTGCCCAGGTGGGAGTGTAGTGGCGTGATCTCAGCTCACTGCACCCTCTACCTCCCAGGTTCAAGTGATTCTCCTGCCTCAGACTCCTGAGTAGCTGAGACTACAGGTGTGTGCCACCATGCCTGGCTTTTTGCATTTTTAGCAAAGACGAGGTTTTACCATGTTAGTCAGGCTGGTCTTGAACTACTGACCTCGGGATCTGCCCGCCTCAGCCTCCCAAAGTGCTGGGATTACAGGCATGAGCCACCATACCTGACCTTATGTTTCTCTGAAGTAAGCCATATTACTGGTATTCAAGGGAATGGTGATGAATTAAAAATAGATTTTTTTTTTACAAACAGAAGTAAAGTTTTATAAGCAAAACTTAGATTAAGAAACTTTCTTCTTACTTCTAATATCTTAAGTAGTAATAAGAAAGAGAAATCTGGAGCAATCAAATCTAGAAGGAGAGCTGTGGGCTTACAAGCCTTTGGTGATGCAACTGAGCTAGCTCTTGAAAAACTATGAATAAAGGTTGCTTTTGATGCATTCCCTATTTTCCTTTCATTTCTATCCCAACAATTTAATAAGGTTATGCCAAATGTAAGGAATAGGGATATACGCTGGCACTTATTCTCTATCCCTTTGTGTTTTTCAGCCAGGACACAAATACATGTAATGAAATTTTGATGGCAACATTACAATGTAGAAAAGAGCCCTGAACTGAAGAGTCCAAGGGGAGGAAACCTGTGGAGTCTTCACAGTGTTACTCACCCAAGGGTGTGTATTTTTATAGAGGAAATAATTCCTTAGTAATTTTATTGAGCATATACCTTTTCTAGTTTTCAAAAAAGTCCTTATAAAAATCTGTGGAAAAGTATCATTATCTATTTTTAAATTAACAAAACCTGGCCATCAATGGATGAATGCATTTTACAAAGGTGCTTTATATACCCAATTGAATACCATTGAGTCTTAAAAGAGAAGGAAATCCTGTCATTTGTGACAATGTGAGTGAACCTGGAGGATGCTGTGCTGAGTGAAATAAGCTAGGCATAGAAGGCCAGATACCACAAGATCTCACTAATATGTGGAATCTAAAACTTTGAACTCCTAGAACCAGAGAGTAGAATGGCAGTTATCAGAGGCTGGAGTTATGGGAAATGGGGAAATCTTGGTCAAAGGGCACAAACTTTTAATTTTTTGACTGGAGGAATAAATTTTTTGGGATGTACTCCACAGCATGATGACTATAGTTAATATATCTATCAAAATTGCGAAGAGTAAATTTCAAATGTTCTCACTACAAAGAGTGATAATTATTTGAAGTGATGGATAGTAAATTAGGTTGATTTAATAATTCTGCATATTATTCATATATCACAACATTACTTTGCACCCCAAAAATATATACAATAAAAAACTTGAGCCTTAGTGTTTAAATAATTTCACCATGATAAAAAACCTTGTGAGTGGTCAAAATGGGATTTGTACCATATCTATCTAATGCCAAGTTTCGTCTGTCACACCATGTTCCCTCTGATTTCAGGTCCCGGAAGATAAAATATGGAGTTTATTTGGAAATAGGGGTGGGATTGCTAGAGGAACCCCTGAATAATAAGCCTTATTAATTTGGGCTATTAGAGAAAGTCTACTGAGTATAAAAACTGTAAAGAAGAGTTTTGAATATCATGTCCCTCCCCACTTCTCTCCCACCTCTCCATCATTTCTGACAAAGAAGGGAAAAGGAATTTGTACTGTGGTATTTGCAGAACGGAGATGACTAATTCAGGAGGCTATGATTCTGTTAGAAGGAGAAGTATGTACTGTTCTACAGAAAGCCCTTGAAGTACTTTGGTTGGTGATTGAAATATGGTCTTGACGTGACTGGCTAAATAACTTGTGGGGCCCAGTGAAAAATGAAAATGCTTCCAGTTTTTAGTGATTATTGCTGCAATTTATTTATTGAACAAAGAGCAGCTTTGTTCAAAATCAAAAACTAAAAACTGGGAGTAAAAGAGATGTCTTTCAGCAGGGGAGAGATAAACAATCTGTGGTATGTATACTCGGTGGTACACTACTTAGCAGTGAATTTAAATTTGTTAAAAGATTATTGATTTCAAGACAGAGACAGCAGAGCATTAAATCAAGTGAGGCCCCTATGCAGCTGTATACAGATTGCATACCTTGAAGTTGGTCGTGGATCCTGAATACAGAGAAAGAATTACCTCTCTCAACTCTTAAAATTGATCTACATTGAAGATAGATTGCTATAAAGATGGATAGTTTATACCCATTAATAGGGTTGTAAAGAGTAAAAGTTCAAATTAAATTAAAAAAAATTAGTCTGCATGATATTTCAGACACAGAAAAGCTCTAGAATTTTTGAGAGAAGGACCAAAGACAAGAGTGGAAGACATTTATTTGAATAAATGGAGAATTTGAGGTCATAATTAGCTCAGCTGGTCAGAAACTGCATATAGCATCATAGGCAGAGGCGGTAATCAGAACATAAAAATGTATTTTATTTATTTATTGATAACCTACTTTTCTATCTTTTCTTTTTGGGGGAGAGGATAAAAGAAAATTACACATAAATTACACATTGAGCTGTAAATGAAAATATTGAAAATGCCTACTAATTGTCTTCCGACTTTCTGGAGCTGTAGAGAAAATAAAGAAATAAAATAAACAATCTTCTTTCTGAAGAGCTAACAGCTTACATTTTAGCAAAGATATTAAAAAAATTCTTAATCAAGTATATGATTGAACTTAATGAAGAAGTTTGAGGATAATGTTAAGACAACTTTCAAATAATTTTGGAGTAATTCTACATGAATGAGAGGGTCAATGGAAAAGGTACCATTTAAGATATATGATATACAAAAGATGAGTTTCACTAATGCGTCTGAGGGACCATCATGTAATATTTCTGAAAATTAACAGTTTGGTAGTGTTATATCTGAGAGGCATGATGCTCTAAAGTAATGCAAACAAGTTCTTCATTAACATTTGTAGAATTTTAATGTGTTTTGTAGATAATTACCATCTTCTTTGTCTGATACTAGTTTATTCATATGAACTAGCTACATTGGCTATACATCCTCAAAACAAAGACTAATTTAACCTGGTAATTTTTGTTTGTAATACAGCACTAGTCTCAGATTAACAATTGGCCTGAGATCTTCCAGTTACCCATAATTGTTGACATTTTTAGAGGAGCTTTTAAGTAGAATAGTTTTAAAAATTATGTTGATAAACTATTAATGCTATACTGAATTTTATGGTTGAACTGGTTTAAGACTGATTTTCAGTCTGCAGTCTATACTGTAATATTTTTTAAAAGCCTTTGGAAAGCAGTTTGCCAGTTTCTCATAAAGTTAAACATATACTTACCATATGACCAAGAAGTCATACTCCTAGGTGTTTCTCAAGTGAGTTGAACATTTAAATTCACACAAAAACCTGCATATAAATGTTTAGAGCAGCTTTATTCATAATCACTGAAAGCTGGAAACAATGAAGATGTCTTTCAGCAGGGGAATGGAGGGAATGGATAAACCAACCGTGGTATATACATTTAATGGTACATTACTACGCAATAAAAAAGAATGAACAATTGAATCCTACAATAACATGATGAATCTTAAATGCATTTTACTAAGGGTAAGAAGCCAGATCCTAAAGATTACATATTGTATTATTTCATTCATATGACATTCTGGAAAGGCAAAAGTATAGAGACAGGAAATAGGTCAGTGGTTGCCAAGGGTTGGTGGATTGGAGGAGTGGTTGACTACACAGGGGACATGCAGGAACAGTTTAGGGTGGTGGAACTATTCTGCATAGTACTGGGTTGATGGGTGCATAACTGCATTTTTAAAAGTCCATCACATGCAGTGAAAATTGAATGTATGTAAACTATAAAAAACCAGCTTGGATGTAAGAGATCTTAGGATGGAAGCAAGTGAATCTAACAGCTGTACTACAAATATACAACATAACTGCACTAAAGGGTGTGTGTGGAAAAAAGCTAACCTAAGTAAGTTGAACAAATAAGTCATTGGGTGGTGGATGGTGGGTACCATGATTCTCATGATTGGAGTGGGAGGTTACAGGTAAGCAAGAGGGGAAGGCTAGAATGAACTCTGTGGGACTGGAGTAGGAGACACCGGCATATCTCATGTCTGGCTTGATATATACATAGATGGAAAATCCTTGACAGAGAAATCAGGTAAGAGAAAGAAATAAAAGTCATTCAAATAGGAAGTTAAACTATCTCCCTTCAATGAAAATATGATTCTATACTTAGGAAATCCTAAAGACTTCACCAATAGGCTGTATGAACTGATAAATGATCTTAGTCAGATTTCAGTATACAAAGTCAATGTACAGAAATAAGTAGCATTTCTGTACATCAATGATGGCAAGGCTGAGAATCAAATCAAGACACAACCCCATTTACAATAGTCACAAAGAAAATGAAATACTTAGGAATACAGCTAACCAAGGAGGCAAAAAAGATCTTTACAAGGAGAACTACAAAACACTGATGAAGAAATCAGAGACAACCCAAATAAATGGAAAAAACATTCTATGCTCATGGATTGAAAGGATCTATGTTGTTAAAATGTCCATACTGCCAAAACAATTTACAGATTTAACACTATTCCTATCAAGTTATCAATGACATTCTTAACAGAATTAGAGAAAACTATTCTAAAATTCATACGGCACTAAAAGAGATCCTGGCTAGCCAAAGCAATCCTAAGCAAAAAGAACAAAGATAGAATCACTGTGCTACCCAACCTCAAACTATACTACAAAACTAGAGTAATGACAACAGCATAGTACTGGTACAAAAACAGACATATAGATCAATGAAACACCTACAACCATCTGATCTTTGACAAGACTGATGAAAACAAGCAAGGGGGAAAGGACTCCTTAGTCAATAATTGGTGCTGGAATAACTGGCTAGCCACACACAGAGGAATGAAACTAGTCCCTTACCTTTCACCATATACAAAAATTAACTCAAAGATTTAAATGTAAGACCTCAAATGATAAGAATTCTAGAAGGAAACCTAGGAAATCCCCTTCTTGACATTGGTTTTGGGAAATAATTTTTAGCTAAGTCACCAAGAGCAACTGCAGCAAAAACAGAAATTGACAAGTGGGACCTAACTAAATTAAAGAGCTTTTGCATAGCAAAAGAAAGTATCAACAGCATAAACAGACAACCCACAGAATGGGAGAACATATTTGAAAGCTATGCATTTGACAAAGGTCTAATATCCAGAATCTATAAGGAACTTAAATCAACAAGCAAAAAACAAATAAACCTATTAAAAAAATTGGCAAAGGACATGAACAGACATTTCTCAAAAGAAGAGATACATGTCATCAACAAGCATATAAAAATGATCATCATCACTAATCATGAGAGAATGCAAATCAAAATCATAAGATACCATCTCATGCTAGTCAGAATGACTATTATAAATAAGTAAAAAAACAACACATAGTGGCAAAGCTGCAGAGAAAAGGGAACACTTTAACTCTGTTGGGAATACCAATTAGTTCAGCCACTGTGGAAAGCAGTTTGTGAGAAATAAAAGAAAATAGATCAGTTTACCAAAAAGACACATATACTTGTATGTTAATTGCCTCACCATTCACAATAGTAAAGATATGGAATCAACTTAGGTGCCCATCAATGGTTAATAAAGAAAATGAGGTACATATATAACATGGAATACTATGCAGCCATAAAAAAGAATGAAATCATGTCATTTACATCACTATGGATGCAATTGGAGGGCATAATCCTAAGTGAACTAATGCAGGAACAAAAAACCAAATACCTT